CAGTACCTAGTGTGGTCTAGTTATCAACCACCTAATTGTAAGGGGTGTGTCCGATTTGATTTGAAAAGTGTCCGATTTGGTTTGAAAAGTGTCCGATTTGGTTTGAAAAGTGTCCGATTTGGTTTGAAAAGTGTCCGATTTGGTTTGAAAAGTGTCCGATTTGGTTTGAAAAGTGTCCGATTTAAAGTGAAAATGGTATATATAGTAGAATATCGGAAAGAATAGATTGATCGTGTCTAGAGCTTCCAGGGCAACGCGAACGTGGAAAAATCTGACACGAGCTTTTCCAAAATGTCTCAGAGAAGGAGATAACTTCCTGTAATTTCAAGTCAAACCACTGCGGTCCCACAGGGTAAGCGAGCATTTTGCTGTTACACGACCTGCGCCTCCTGTAAAGATCATTGAGCATTTCATAAAGTAAGAGCTACTCCTCCATTTTTTCAAGGACCTTAGCTGTCCTTGTTGGTTCAGCCAGTGTCGCGCAAACTTGATACTGAAAAAACATTCTTCTCATACCAACCTCGTCCTGCACTTTGCAATCTGCGATGACCTCCTTGTCGTGTTGCCAACAGCCCTTCAACGTCACCTCAATTTTTCGTTCTTCAATGCTCGCATTCTGTAAATCATACTTTAAAAAATAAAGGAACACGTTCCCAAACAAAAAAAGCTTGCCATGTTCTCTGCACTCAACGGGAATTTGAGGGCATATCTTGAACGAAAAAGTTCAATTTCATACCATCTTGACTGTGAAATGGGAATGGGTTAGTCATCAAGGGATGGTTCACAAGGGCCGACCCGTCACTGGGACCAGAACCATCCTACAGGTTTATTTAGCAGTAGCTTCTCTAGGTGCAGTTAAAGGTTAAGAGCAGCCTCCTAACTGTTTCACTGTTGCCACAATTATTCTCTAAGAACTCAAATTCCCTTCTTCAGAGAGCCCATTTCTCTCTTCAGGAAGAGATTAGAAAAACTAGCAAGAAGAGCAATTAAACGGTCCAGAATAATTCAAAGGGCAAGTAAAACGCACCTTTTCTGTGACGTATTTGAACACGGTCATGCAGCCAAGCCGCTGGGCCCGATTCTCCGGCTCCGCATAGCACTTCTCCAGCACCGGACAGTGCGGATCGTTGGGTGCACACGACTTTGGATCGAATTTCTGGAGTGATGACTTTGAAAGAGTGCTTACAACGAATCATGTTATGTAGTCGCTCAAGTGAAGAAGTGGATTTTGCGACAACAATTTCGTAGACGACGAAGTTGGAAGCTTAGGTGTATGTACTATTTGACTTGTCCGCGGAGGAGAAAACCGGGGAAACAGTCGAAAATGCCCCTAGTAAGGCCTTCTAGTTCTTGGCTAGAGGCGAAGAATCAGTGGCGATTCTAGGTGAGAGATTAAACAAAACCCTGAGATGGCATGTAAACGAGCAATCCGACAGACAGGACAATAGCGACCGTGTTCAGGTCACTTGAAGGCCAGGCACTATGGCTGGGGCGGGCGGTTACTGCTAACGTCATCGGTGGAAGGACTGCGAGAGGGTGTTAAGCCACACCCAACTCAGCCCTTCCACCAGTCACGTTGGCAGAGATCGCCCGTCCCGAGACGTCGCGCTTACTGCTTTGAAGACACATGGTACGCTCAAACACATTGAGGGTGTATGAGACTATCAGCCCCCAGCTGTCGATGTGTCGTGGTCCCCCCGCCCAAAACTGCACGGGGTCAGAGTACGGGGCCGTGGGAAAGTCGTAATTCCTTGCTACACCGCCCTCACGTATATATGCAAACACCGTCCGCGCGGCGCGGTCGCGTGCAGCTCTCTTGGCTTTTTGCCAAGTCCTGTAATTGCGCTTTGGAATACAAGTAACGCAATTTCTTTATGCGGATAACATTTTAGGTGCTGCAAAATAAGAACCGAAGATGATGACAAGGGCTAGAACTCAAGAGCAACTGTGGTGCTTCTGCAATATCCCTCAGAGGCCGCGCATTCCCACAGAACATGACAATAAAAACGGACAACATGACAATACAAGCAAAACGCAATTTCCTAACATTTGAGGTATTGCTCATGCTTCCGAATAGAAGGTGATGAAGATGACAAAGGCTAGAAATGAAGAACAACGAATGTAGATGTAAATAAAACAAAATTGAAAAAACTAAGGAAACGCAATAAATTAAAATCGCGTGTGCATTTCTGCGATCCGGCTCTAATGCTATAGAAATACTTCAAACTAACGAGTGGGACGCTTAGGCCGTTTTTATTTTGATGTTTTGTGGGAATGCGCGGCCTGCGAGGGCTGTTGCAGAAGCAGCACAGTTGCTCTTGAGTTCTAGCCCTCGTCATCATCTTCAGTTCTTATTTTGCAGAACCTAAAATGTTATCCGCATAAAGAAATTGCGTTGTACTTGTATTCCAAAGCGCAATTACAGGACTTGGCAAAAAGCCAAGAGAGCTGCACGCGACCGGTGTTAGTAAAAACGTGAGTTTGCAAAAACGGGCGGCGTAGCAAGGAATTACGACTTTCCCACGGTCCCGTACTCTGACCCCGTGCAGTTTTGGGCGGGGGACCACGACACATCGACAGCTGGGGGGCTGATAGTCTCATACACCCTCAATGTGTTTGAGCGTACCATGTGTCTTTAAGAAAATTGCCCCTTAATGCCCCGACCTTACAATTTTCCATGAAACTCCTTCTTAGAAACTCATTAAAGATTGTCGCCTAAGTCAACCGTTGAAAGTGTCTTCCAACGATTAAAATGAATTGCTTATTTATACTGCCATCAATCAGGTGGACTAACCGCAGTCAGCCCCTTCCACTGATTTCATTGCTCAGCATTATATAAACGCAAAAGAGCTGCTTGTTTGGGTAATTTACGAAGATCCCTTTC